CAGGGTCCCGGCTGAGGAACCTCTTAGTCTCTGTCAACACCTCCTGGCCCGAGGCCAGTCTGCACTGTCACTCCCACTTGCCAGGCTCCTTCCAGAGCTTTCTTCACTCCAGAGCGGCCCTTACAGAACCGCCCTTGCCTCGGCTTCCCCAAATCGCATCCATCCTTCAAGGCTCTGCTCAAGGCCCGTTTCCTCCAAGAAGTCCTCCCGCTTTGCCAAAAGTTTTTCCAATTTCTTTGCCTCCCTCTTAACACCTTGACTTAGTTGACAAGCGACTGTGTTTCTGCAGAGACTCGCAGCCACAGAAGCCCAGCCACTGTGCGGTTCCTACTTCCGCCCCCAGGAGACCACTATATCCTGCAGGAGCGGTTTTCCAAACCCTTTCTTTTCCCCCACTCGTGCGTTTTGGTGCTACCCCAGGTCTGCCACTCCCCAACCCCAGGTCCCCTCATGTCCCTTCGGCCCCCTCTCCATCCCTGCTCTCGGCTCTTTGCCACCCAGCTCAGCCAAACCCTCTCCCGCAGGCCTCAGGTCCCACCTTGCTACCTGTTCAGATTTGACACCAAAATGCCCTGGGCCCAGGCTGTCCTCAGAGGGCAGGGGTTCATTCAGGAGAGAACTGGAGCAGTGAAGATGGAATCCATCAGACATAGGAGGGCCAGAAGGGCCGGTGTGCCATATGACTTTGCCCCATCCCACCCACATCCTTCGTGCCCAGCAGCTGGTGACTGTCCACTTTCTCCACTGTTCCGGTGGGTTTTAACCTTGCTCCCCCAGACTTCCGGGCTCCCCACGGCACAGATGAGTTCTGATCTCCCAAGAGTCAGCACAGTCAAGGGGTTCAAATGAGATCTGGCAGCTGAAGTGCTTCCCACGGGGTCTGCCCACAGTCGGCTCAGGAGAGGAGCTGACGTCACAGCCCACAGCTCCTTCTCTGAGTCCCCTCAGTCAGGCCAGGTGAGTCGGGGGTCCCAAAGTGAAGTGGGGTTGGGGTGGGGGACGGGTCCAGAAACCCTGCCAACGACAGTGAGCACAGGCCCTGGAGCTTTGGAGCCAGGTCCAAGGCCCCGCTCTGCACTGATACTGCAAGCCCCAGTCTCTTCGTCAGTGAAGTGGGCATCGCGACCCATCCCCCCCGAGGAATGTGAATACAAGCACATGTCAGATCACTTTGCAGGCGGGGACACGACTTGTGTGAGTTGGTAGAAGGGCCGGCAATGCAAGGTGTTGGCATAAACCTGCTTGGCCAAGTTTTAGTTTGGAAATGTCATCGCGCGTCTGAGTTGGCGTTTGGCAGATGCAGCCCCCAGATGCAGAGTCAGGCTCTAGGCAGGATGCTTTCATCAAGAGTCCTTTTGGCCGTAAGCGGACTGCCTGTGTTTGTGTCTGGGATCTTAGACGCAGTGACTTTGGAAAGTGGCTTCATCACTCCAAGCCTCAGTTTACGTGTCCGTGCAGTGGGGATAACAGCCCCTTCTTCAGAGTTGCTGTGAAAGCAGAGGGTAATTTACATAAAAGTGGAGCACGGCGCCTGACACAGAGTGCTCCATAAACATCAGTGCTTTTATCATTTCCCAGTCAGTGTTATTCAGTCAGTGTTGCTCAGTCAGTGTTGAACGAATGAATGAATGAACGGCTGATGGTCTGGGTTTGGTCCCTGGGGATGCTATTTTTGGTTGACCTCACAGATTGCAAAGACCTTGTCAGTTTACAATCTCTTATTTTTTATGCCTACAGCACCTGGGCTTCCTAGGTGGTCTCCCATCCGAATACTAACCAGGCCTGACCCTGCTTAGCTTCCGAGGTCAGATGGGATCGGGCTTGTTCAGGGTGGCGTGGCCGCAGACCCGGGGATGCTTTTCGATCTCTAGTATTTTCAGGCTGATTCCGTGTGACCTTGCATAAGGAACTCGTTTGACTCAGTGTGTGGGAAAGGAATCGACGAAATAAAAACTCCTCTACCAGGGGTATGCGCGCCAACCACAGACGACAGCGGGACCTTGGGAGCAAATGCCCAGCACCTACGAGCCAGCACAGGACTTGCCCCAAGTCCAGGCCAGGCTTCCATTTCTGTCCGCTTCAAGATAGGCCAACTTGACTTTGGTTTTATTCTCAAGCACAGTTCCTGGGTTCGTCCAGGCAGGACTGTTGTGCTATTGTGTGGATTGCTGGATGAGACAATGTGTAGACATTTTTCTGTGACGTAATGAGCAATATTGTATCTGCGGGTCCCTGACTTTCGCCCCCTCATTTCAGACAGCTGTCAGGGCCAAGCCTGTGGGCCAGAGGCCAGTCTCACTGTTGTCACACACGCCCCCGTCTCAGACGCACAGGGCAGGGCGGAGAGTTCCATGGCTGCTATCTGGTCCTGCCTTTGCCGTGCACATACTGTGTGACCTTCACAAAGTCCCTTCCGCTCTCTGGGCTTCAGATTCTCCATCTACAGAACATTGCTGCCTAGGTCTCCGCAGTCCCTGTGTGTCTAAGAGCAGCAGAATGGTGTGAGTTTCGAGCCTGGGCTCGGAGTTCTGTGTGACCAGCACTTTGTGACTGTGGCCTCACGTGAGCAGCTTACGTTTTGTGGATTGAGCCCCTCTGTAAAGGGGAGATGATCAATAGTGATCTACTCCATAGAGTTGTCGCAAGGTTTAAAGATATTACAATTGAAGTGCTTGCCATGGGGTCTGCCCACGGTCAGCTCAGGGAGGAGCTGACATCAGCCTGTAGCCCCTTCTCCGAGTCCCACGGCCAGGCGAGTGATTGTGTGTGCGTGTGTTTGTGTGTCAGTGTGTACGGAGCCTTAGCCTCTTCAGGGCACCGTGGGGGAGATCTGGCCAGGGAGCCGCCCTGAGGACAAGGGCAGAGTTGGCGCTGGCATCTCACTCAGCAGAAGCCGTGGGTCACCGCACCTCCTGTCCCTAACTGCTACATGTCCCCGTCTTTGGGGTGCTGAATGTCTTTGTGGCTCCCTGACTAGTTTGGCTTGAAGAGGCACTAGCCAGCCCCATCCCAGCCGGGAGATCACCGGGCTGTGGGCCCCAGGGAGGACAGAACCACTGAGCCACTGGGGCACTGGTGGGGCAGCCACCTCAGGCAAGGGCTCGCAGCGGCAGGCCAGTGCGTTTGGAACTCGGGTCAGCTCTGCCCTCGGACTCCCCACCCCCGCCTCCCTGGACCCCACGGTGTTTGTTTCACAACTGGCCGCCCTGCTAAGTGATGCAGGAAGTGGGCCCCCGGGGAGCAGATACAGCCCAGCACAGCAGATAACCGGGCGAGGCTCTGGGAGCCTCTGGGGCCCGGGCAGGGGCGGAGATAAGCGGAAATGCCGGGCTTATCACGCCGCCTGAGCCCTGGAGAAATCACCCAGGCCGGCCAGCCCCCTCCGCCGCAGCGCCCCGGGCTCCCGGGCGTCTCCAGGCGGGGCGAGCACAGGCTGGCACGGCCGCAGGATGAGGACTCCGTGCCCCCCTCCGGCGCCGCGCGGCCCGGGCGCCACAGGCCAGCAGCGGGCGTCGGGCTGCACCCGGAGAGTTGCGGTAAGGACAGCTCCTGGCGGTCGCCTTTGAAGTCGGAGCCCGAGCAACACTGTGAGGATCGTGGGGCTGAGGGAGCCTCGGTGACAATTGTCCCCTGGGCCTGGGCCCTCTTGGACCAGGAGCTCAGTCAGTGGGAGCTGTGGGTGGCGGGTCCAGCCCGAGGATGGTCAGCCTTCCCGCAAACATGGGGTGCTTTGGGCACAGGCCCGGCGGGGTTGGCTGGGAACCCCGCGAGGCGTCCTGGGCTTCTGTGTCATCTCTGGTTTCCTTTCCTGAGGAAGCTCAGCATCAGGGAGGACATGTTCGCACCTTCTGAGCGCAAACATGCTTGCGGGGCCTGCAGGGGGGCGGCCGGGCAGGGCCAGGTGCCTGGCCCTGGCTGAGGACTGGGGAGATGCCCCTACTGCGCCCTGCCCCAGCCACACTGAGGGGCCCGGGCGCATGCCATCCTGCTGGCCGGCCGTCTGGGCGGGCCGGCGAGTGCTAACCCCTGCTGGCTTGTACTCACCACGTGCCAGGCGCTGCAGGGAACAGCGCACTCATGGGGATACCCAGGCCTGCGAGCCCTTCGCACGGGAGGGGAGCTGGGTTCAGAGAGCTTGGGGACGTGCCAGGTGTGTGCTGGCCCACACGCGCTTCGCGGAGGTAGAGAAGTTCCTGTCTCCAACACACCTGGCCTCCACCGCTCAGAAGATTGTCACCAAATTCGTTTTTGTTGGAACGAGAGCCTTCAAGGCCTGGTCTGTGTTGGCGCCCGCTGTGCCCTTGACCTCTGCAGACCCTGCTCCTGTTCCCCGCAGGCAGTCACGCCGGAGCCTCTTAGCTCTTTCTCTTGGTGTTTGCCTCCAATTTCCTCATCAGTTTGAATGTTGTCCATGGACTTCCTGTTAAGAGAAATGAAGGTTTAGCACCCTCACCACCCCCACTTTCCCTCCGCCATCCGGTCATAACTTCGTGAAGCGGGTCCGCGTCGTGGCATCATAGTGTGACCACCGTCATGTGAACGCTATTCACGGACATCAGTTACGTGCTTCGGTCTCATTCTTTCGTGGAAGAACTGTGACTTTCTTGGCGTCTCTAATTTCTTTTGTTTCCCTTCTGCCCTGTGCACCAGCATCATACTGGTGGCTACATCTGAGCACGTGCTGTGTGCTAGGCACTCTTCTTGGTGCCTTATAAACCTCAGCCACCCTCCCGACAACCCCAGGAAGTGTCATGTTGTTACTCTCCTGTGACAGCCCAGGGAGTGCAGGCTCGGAGAGGCTGAGTACACCGGCCACGGCTCTGCCTCCAGTAACTGGCAGAGGCAGAAATTAAGTCCAGACAGTCCGACGCCAGGCCGCTTGCTCCTAACGTTTTATTACATCTTAATTACATGATATTGTATACTGTTCCCCGCCCCCCCTCCCCCCAGTGTCCTCGCTTTTGGGGACTCTTCATCCTCCTGTTTCAGATTTGGGCCTGAGTCGAACCTGGAGCTAAGTTTTTTGTTTCGTCCCTCATTTTGCCGGAGAGTTCCTCAAAACAGCTTCCTTCGGAAGGGTGCGTACAGTTTTTACACCTTCGCAAGTCTTGAGGCTCTTCATCCCGTCCTCTGGCGACGGTGCGATGTCTTCAACATTCTTTCTAAATTTTTCAGCCAACCTAACTGTCTTCCGACATCCATTTCTTTTAGCGTGAGGAGTCTGATGTCATTCTGGTTTCAGTCCTTTGGTGCGTGATTTTTTTCTCCTCTTAAATTTTGGGAAGCTTTTATAATCTCCCCTTTGCCTGTGGCTCTCGCTGCGCCTGGCACATAGGGGACAGTTGGGAAGAAGCCACATCAGCCCTCAGCTCCTGAACTCATTTCTCCTGTGGGTGAAAGGGATTAAAGCAGGTCCTCCTGGTCACCCCTTGCCAACAGAGAAGCCTCGAGGCTTCTTGTTGGCACGTTCTGCGCTTTCTCCCAGGGGGCCCCAGCTTGCTTCTGGGAACGGTCGCGGTTTCCTGCCCTGTTCCCATCTGACCGTTGCGGGAGGACCCAGCCGCCGCCCCCTTCCGCAGGGCTCCCGATGGCCGTCCAGCCTCCTGCCTCTGCTGGAGCCTCCTTCCTTCATTCCATCACACACCTGTGCTGAAGATCCCCCCATGTGCACTGGGCATGCTGGTGTCCCGGGGGATCGAGACAAGCCTGAGGGGCACTGTTCTGGCCTCAGGGAACTTGAAGGTGGTTCCAGAACAGCGGATGACATAGCAGTCACGTGTCTAGTAAACCAGCTGCCTTGCAATCACTCGTTACGTCAGGGAGATCCGGTGCAAACCCTTTTGTACTTTAAATGATTAGCTTTTGGTAGAGGTCACGTGTCTGGGACATTCATTTGTTTCCTTTGGGTGCATGTGGACTTTCTCGATTCCTTACCAGGCTTCGTGAACCCAGGGCTTGCCTGGGTGCAGGTCACCCCGAGAGCTGCATAGCAGCTGTCGTAATGGAGCGGCCTGTGCCGCACACTGGTAACTCTTTCCTAGGGACTGGGTCTGTCTCTTTAGACTGGCGGGGACTTCACAGCGTCTGTAGGACAGACACTGGGTTGAGTATTAGACTGTCTGGGGTTTCTCTGGGCAGCTGCTTCCCAAAGTTTGATCCAGGGAACCCTGTTCCACAGGGAAGTGTTACACGGAGGTGTGGGCGGAACAGATGCCGGTGGCGGGCGAGGTCCAGCCGCGGTGCCCGTGAACCCCCGAGGGGCTGGAGCACCGCGTTCTCCAAGTCGCTTTTTCAAGCAGAGTTTGTGTGTTTGTTTTAAATCACAGCGAGTGACAACATCTGACAGCGAATATAGCAACCCTCTCGTGAGCAGGCTCTGGGCCATTCTACCAATGACACCCAGGACTGTGCGCCCCGGAAGTGGGTCTGGATTTCTGCGTGGGCTGCCCCGGGCAGCTGTCCCACAGACGGGTGGGCAGCGAGGGGCTGTGGTCCAGCTGCATTGCGTAGCAGGCACACTGCGCTTAGGGGTCGCCTGGAGCTTAGAATAGCAAAAGCATCTGAAGGTGCTTTTGGATGTCCGATTGTCAGATCAAAGTTTATTCTCATAATTGCTCCTGTTCAGAGGGACACGATGTCCCCCTCCCTGATGCCAGCATCGACTGCAGCTGGACTCCTTGGGAGGCCGTGTGCCTGGCAGCCTTGGGCAGATTCCCACTCTGGCCTTGCTGTCTTTCTGGGAGGGCCTGGAAGAGAATGGTGGCCATCAGCAGTGCCCCGGCAGCCCAGGACCCTGTGGCACGCCCTCGCGGCCACCTCAGCGTCTGCTTGAGCATCTCTCTGTGTCTGCTTTATTTCATGTTGCCTCTGTAGAAGTTCTGTACGAACCAAGGGTTTTGAGGTGAAAACGCGTGGGAGTGTGGGCCCCCTGCTCCCCAGGCCGGCCTGTGTCTGTTTCGGTTCAGAGGTTGGGAGCCCAGTACCTTTGCGGTCACCAATGGGGCCGGGGGCCACTGGCAAATGCGCCCCAGAGGGTTTAGCGAGGAACATGACCTGCGGGATGGCACTTGGCGAGTAGCCTAAGCCATTGTTCCTCACTCCTATTTTTAGATGCAAGTGACGAGTGACTGAGGACCTGGAGTGGGGAGGGCCCTGCAGACTCTCCCTTCGGCAGCCTACACACTTGTTGGGGCATCGGCAAAGTAGGAGCCCCTCAAATTTGTTTTTAATTTGCAGAAGCATCACGTTTTTCGTGCTGGCAGAGGTCAGCATGGCCTCACGTTTGTGACTGGTCTTGCTTTCTATTGTGAATTGGCCGTGTGAGTGGCAGGTGGGACACCAGCTGCTCCTCGGTGCCTTGTGCCTCTCAAGGTCTCTCCCTGCCCAGGGACTCCCGAGGCCCTTTGTGGGGTCCGGCCTTCGGGCACTTCCCGTAAAAGTCTCCTTTCTTCTACCCTTTAATTTCAGCTGCGCCAACTCCCGCCTGCCCTGGGTGAATTCTTAAAATATTTGCCTATCAGCACCCTCTCAGAGAGGAATGGCCAATGCTGCTGTGATGTCAAAGGGGCCCCAAGGAGAAGGGCCTGGGCCAGACCCAGCCTGTCACTCATGGCGCACGGCAGGGTGGGAGATAAGCAAAGGCAGAGGCTCAAAGAGGGCCTGCCTGGTCCCCTGGGCGCCCTGAGCGACCCGGCCGTCCCTGCGGGTGGCACTGGGGGCGAGGCTGTGAACCACCAGGAGCAATGAACTTGCAGACGCCACAGCCCAAGTGAGAACCAGGCCTCGGCGGCTCTTCTGACCCCTCGCCCTTGTCAAGCCCGCACCAGGATGTCGGGAGCCGCCAAGGACGGTGTGGGGGCCCGGGGACTGTCGGTGTCGGGCAAGGCCTGCCTCACCACCATGGACAAGAAGCTTAACGTGCTGAACGAGAAGGTTGACAAACTCTTGCATTTCCAAGAAGACGTCACAGAGAAGCTGCAGTGTGTGTACCGAGGCATGGGCGACCTGGAGCAGGGTCTGCACCGGCTGGAGGCCTCCCGGGGCCCCGGCCCTGCTGGGGCAGACCACCCTCCTCCAGGCGATACGCAGGCCGGGTGGCCGGAGGTCCTGGAGCTGGTGACGGCTGTGCGGCAGGATGCTGCCCAGCACGGTGCCAGGCTTGAAGCCCTCCTCAGGATGGTGGTGGCTGTGGACAAGGCCATAGCTTTGGTGGGGGCTGTGTTCCAGAACTCGAAGGTGGTGGACTTCATCATGCAAGGGAGCCCTTGGAGGACAGGAGGCCTGGCTGACGCCGAGGGCCCCGCGGAGGTTGGTTCTCGCCTCCCTGCCCGGTGCCCGTCTGGCTGGACGGGCGGCCCTGGGTCCTAGGTTGGGAGGCCAGCCAGGCAGCATGTCTCAGAAGAGTTTGGGGCTGTCGTCTCCTCTTGTTCCTTGACGTGTTGATGGGGAAAAGGAGATAGAGCCTTAAAGGTCACAGGTGGCTTTCCAGACAGGGCACTGTCTTTCAGGGAGAGGAGGCAGTGTCCTGGGGACCGTGTGGCCTTGGGCAGCTCCAGGGCACCTGGAAGTGGGGGACACACAGGCCTTGAGGGAGAGGAAGACCATGGAGCTTCCAGGACATCCAGTGACTTCCCTTTACTCCCCTCTGTCCCTTCCCATGTCGGGTGGGACACAGGTGGGGACCGGTTTATCCTGACAGAGCCCCCATTCAGAAACCCGGCCCCCCTCTTCCTGTCCCCAGCCTTGTGCGCTGTCCCAGAGTGGGTGGAGTGTGCAGCTGCCCGTGGAGACTAGTGTTGACAGTGACCCATGGGGGACACAGGCCAGGCCGCAGCCGGAGCCTGGGGGTGGGGTGTGACATTTCTGGGAGCCGCTGTTCCCAAGGGTTGCATAATCAAACCCGCTGGCTAATGGAAGTTTGGCTGGGGTGGGGGTGTTTGTGTGCGTGTGTGTGAGGTGTGTAGAGGCAACACTCTATTTGGGGACAGCTAAGGGTTAGCCACTTAGCAACACTCAGATGGCCTGAGGTCACTGACTAGGTGGATCCCTGTTACCCACCAGCCTCTGCAGGAGAAAAGCTGGGGTCCTCAGGAGCTTGTCCTTGGCTGTGCAGGCCGCCAAGCCCGCTTCCCCTCCCCACCGCAGCCTGGCCAGCTCACCCAGCTGACCTCTTCCCCTCCCTGCCCTGCAGCTTCTGGAGCGGAGCTCGTCCCTCCGCCCCGGCTCCCTGTGAGTCTGGCCTGCGAGAGAGATGGGACCTAAGGGTCTCGCCCCCGATAACCCCCCCTCAGCCTTTAAAAAGGGAATTCACCTCATATCTGCGCGTGGTGACGAACATCCCTGTGGAGAGAGGGCACGGTCTCCCCCTCCATCCGCCAGCCCCTAAGAGCAGCCTTCCTCCTGCGCTCGGAGGTGCCGGTTTCCTGTGAAGCCTTCCAGAAATAGTCTGTTTATCTGGAGCACTCCGGGGCGCACACCACCCTCTTCGTTTTATTTTAACTCAATTATCATTCACATTCTGGACTCGGTTTTTTTCCAACTTAATATATTCTGGACATTATTTCACATTTACACCTAGAAAGCATCTTGTTGTTCTTTGTAAAGTTGCAGATTGCTTGGGGCGGTGTCTTAATTTCTTAACCAGTCCCACATCATTGTTGGTTTATATTGTTTCTCATTTTTAGCTGTTAGTAAACGATGCAGTGAATATTCATAGAAGTGTGGTTTTACCTGTAGAATACCCTCATGGCAGCGGCGACGTCAAGCCAAAGGGTAAATTATGTAATAGAAAAAGCCAAACCGACCTTCAGAGAAGTTACTGTAATTTGGCGTCCTGTCCATAGCATGGACATGCTAGTTGCCTCCGCTTTTGCTAACAAAGCAGATCATCCAACTTTTGGATTCTTTGGTGCACGAAAACTGAAATCTTATTGTGCATGCATGCGCGCGTGCATGTGTGTGTCTTAACATCTTAGTATAAAAGTTTTCAAGCGTTTGTAAAAATAGAGATTAGCATAATAAACCCTGTGAGCCCCATAACTGGAGGCCAGGTTTCCCCATCCATTTCCCTGTCTCCAGATTCTTTTGAAACAAATCCGAGATATTGGATCATTTCTTCCATAGACATTTCAGCAGTTACATCTAAAAGAGAAAGGCTCTCTTAGCTATTATCGTACCTATAAAGTAAACAGAAATTTTGTATTACCAAAGTCAAGGTTCAAATTTTCCTGAAGCATCTTCTCTTTTTTTTTCCTTTATAGTTTGAGTGAAGCTCCAAATAAGGCAGTTAGTTATATGCTTCTTAAAGCTAACTCTTTTCCCTTAATTCATAAAAAATTTCAAACTTTCTTATGGAAAATTTTAAACATTACCCGAAACAGATAGAATTACATATCTCATCGTAGTTTGAATTTGTTCTCCTTTTATTAGATGTTTGAGTCTCTTTCACAGATGTACAACCTTCGGCGTTTTTCTGTGAAGTGTCTGCTTGTGTCCTTTCCCCTCTTTTCTATGTCAGTTTTTTGCCTTTTTCGTATTAATTTGTGAGGTCTCTTCCTACCTTAGTGAAATTAGCCGTCATACATGTCACGGATAGTCAGACGTATCTGGATGGGGGAAGTTGTAGAACTTTCTCTTTTCCGAGTTCTCACATTTCTCGCCAGTTCTCCACTGGCACATGACTGATCTGACTTCTGGTCTTTGTGTTGAACACACATTTCGGTGACTGTCTATAGATTTGGGTCCCAGCTCCCAGTCAGGCTGCCAGGCCCAGGCAGGAGGCCTCGATTTCCCTCTGTGCACTGCGGCCCGGGCTGGCCTCACAGGACAGGTCCGAGGATGGGTGGGGGACAGAGACACAGCCCTGGCAATCTGTCTCTGTCGGTGCCGAAAGCTGTATTATGTATGGACACTTTCTGGACACCTTCTGTGTGTCCTGAGAGAGTAGGGGCATAGCATCCATTTGTGGAATTGAATTAAATCTTAGTGTTACATTTTAAAATTGTGCCAGGACTTCGTGAGGGCACCCATTAGGCCCGAAACGCACAGTGACACTTCATTTGGTTGTAAAAACGAATTAGAGTGTTATTGGAAGCCAGGCGTGCTCAGGAAGGACAGGTTCAGGCCCAGCCAGGGGCGGGCCCAGATCATGGTCAAGCTGCTTGGGAGACGTCAGGCCTCTCGAATGGCGTTTGGGGTGGCTTCTCCTTTCTCTGGATGCACCACGCAAGGCAGGGATCACAAAGTTGTCCCTGACGACAAAACCTATCTGTGTGTGTGTCTGGTGCATGTGCACCTGCCCCCGAAGGCAGAGGAGAGGACAGTGTGAGCCCAACAAGGTCTGCCAAAGGACAGTGTGTTCGGCTCCCTCCCTACCGGTGGTGGGGGGCAGGAGGTGGCCTGTTCCCCCAGCTACGGGGGTGGCAGGACAGAGTCTGCAGAAAGAGGCCAAGGGGGAGGTCTTGGCTGAGTGGGGGCCTGGGTCACCTTGATGATGCCGGTGACCATCACGATGGCAGCACCTAGTATTTATTAAGTGCCTGGCACATGCCATGCACTGGACTGTGTGTTCTTACGTGTCGTGTTGTCACGTTACGAGGGCAGAGCTCGGTGTCCTGCAAACTCAAAGACACAAGCAGGTAACAGAATTGAGAGAAGGGGCCCAGCGTAGGAACTGCAGTGGAACCAGGCCTTGTCCTTAGTGGCAGGGAGACATTGGTGAGAGCCGAGGCTGTGACGCCCCACTAACAGGGGCCCCCTCCTGCCGTGTGTGGACCTAGAATTGTCAGACTTTCAGATATTTTTTTCAAGGGAAGCTGGAAAATTACAATTTTATCTAATCAGTTTTATTAAGTAACATACAATAAGCTGCGCCTCCTCCACAAAATATGCACATTTTAAGTATACAGTTCTACAGATGTATATACCCCAATGACTACCATCATAATCAAAATATAGAACAATTCTGCCACCCCGAAAGGGAACTTAGAATTTCAACGTAAAAATCCAGAATTAAACCATTGATGTGAAAACGTTTTAAATGCCGTGCTAGCCAGGCAAGATGCATCTCGGGCTCTTTTTGGCCTCTGGGCTTCCAGGGGCCTCATAGGGAAAAGGCCTGCGGGGAGGGCCCTGGGACCAGGGGCTCAGCTATGACAGGTGCCAGGAGGAGTTTTAGGAGATTCTTCACCAAAGACTCGGAACCCCCGGAAGCCTTGGGGGACCTAGCAAGGGGTCAGGCCATCTAGAAAGACTTGGAAGTACTGAATGTTCTGGGGCCTGCTGCGGGAGCAGAGGCACGTGCCCGCCAGGCCGAGAGCTGGCTCCGGGTGCCCTTACATGATGGCCCACTGGACAGACCACCGTCTGGCTTGGGGGACGAAGGCGTGGAGCTCTGGAGCACTCGCCACGAGCCGGCCCTCCCAGTAGCTGCTCAGACGAACCCCCGAGCCTGCCCGGGGCCTCTGCGGGTGGATGACCTCATGCTCCCCCTCCTGCAGACGAGGGAAGTGAGAAGCACAGAAGTAAGGGTCTTGGCCGAGTGGCGAAGGTGGGGGTCAAAGCACGCAAGTGTGGCTGGGGAGCCCTGGAGGCTGTGCTCCCGGCCACACTGCGCCACTGGGACCGGCGAGGGCAGGTGCCCCCACCCAGCCCCCACCCACCTTGTTAACTGATCGCCGTGCCTCTCCTGCAAGCCTGGACCCCTTGGACTTAGATTCCAAAGCAAACCTACGGTCTAGTGGTCGACCTGAGGATGACCTGAGTTGACATTTTAAGGTTCACTCCGTTTTCCATCCCTGGTCTGAGTACTTTGACCCCCAGCCCGCTTAGGCCCCCGTCATGTGCCGGGTCTGCCCTCACCAGCAACGCAGGTTCACTTTAGAAAGGCAACCCCGGGAAAGCCTCGGTGTCCTTAGTTCTGAAGTGACAACAGCAGTAGCCACCCTCTGGTGTAACTGACTTCGTGACATGACCCGAGTCCTTCGGTGTCCAGCACGTGGTAGGCACACGGCACGTGCGTGTGGCTGGACGGTGCTGTTGACGGTGGCGATGACAGTTTCTGTGGTGCTTCTTTCAGAACAGAGAGCGCGTGGACGACGAGGGAGCGAGACCCAAGTGTGCGCTGAGCAGCAGAGCCGGGGGGCCCGGGGCAGGTGAGTGCGCCCCGTTCGCTTCATCCGACGTCGCACCCCTACTGGGCTCAGAACGAAAACGCCACCAGCACCACCAGCAGAGTGATCACTGAAAATATGCTGAAGCCCCCCCACCCCAATTCTTTTTGTCCTTTATGTGTGTCCATCCCACCAGAGAGGAACTGTCAGCTGCT